TGGACTTGATCATTCCTCCTAGCTTGTTGGTGAGTCCTCATTATTCGAGGACGGATGCTATCTTTGTACTTTCTTTTATTGTATTTCCAATTTCAGACATGTTATATTGGCTAGGCCCAATTTGATTCAAGTATTGTAATAGATGGCTATATTAAGACAAGTCTAGACTTCCGCTTTACTTTTATGAAAAACTTTTTAAGACTTGAAATGTGTTTTACTCTTATTGTTCTAATGCTTTATGTTATGATATGCTAAGTGGCTTAAATGGTGCCTTTTGGGGTTCTATGTACCTTGTTACATGAAAAATTTCAGCAAAAAAAAATCCGGAATTCCGTATCACCAATGGGTGTTAACCTGCTTTGGGGCTCGTTTGAACTTGAAAATGGGCTCCTTTGACCGTCGAGACCAACTGTCTCCATTACTAAAGTCTTAATTGACGTCCATGAAAAAGTTTGGCCACGAAAATGGGATCGTTTGGACTTGAAAATGGGACCGTTTTCCTGTCGGGACCAACTGGCTCCATTACTAAGGTCTTAACGGATGTCCATACATATTTTTGGCAAAAAAATATCTGGAATTTCGGATCATCAAAATTTCATGAACTATAGCACACGAAAATCGACAAAATAGGGGTTTACCTGCTTTGGGGGTCATTTGAACATGAAAATGGGCCTCTTTACCCGTCGGGATCAACTGGCTCCATTACCAAGATCTTAACGGACGTCCATGAAAAATTTTGGCAAAAAAAAATCCAGAATTTCAGATCACCAAAAATTTGTGGACTATAGCAAACGAAATTCAGCTAAATGGGAGTTGATCGAGGCTCGTTTGAAATTGAAAATGGGCCCGTGGTCGGGACCAACTGGCTCCATTATTAAGGTCATAATGGACGTCAACGAATAATTTCAGCAAAAAAAAATTTGGAATTCCTGATCACCAAACAATCATGGAATATAGAGCACGAAAATTGGGAAAATGAGGATTTACTTGCTTTGGGGCTCGTTTGAACTTGAAAATGGGCCTATTTCCCCATGGGACCAACTATATCCCATTGTTAAGGTCTTAATGAATGTCCATGAATAATTTAGGCAAAAAAAATTCGAAATTCTGGATCACCAAAAATCCACGGAATATAGCACACAAAAATCAGAAAAATGAAGGTTTACCTGGTTTGGGGCTCATTTGAATTTGAAAATGGGCCAGTTTACCCTTCAAGATCAATTGGCTCCATTACTTGGGTGTTAACGGACGTCCATGAAAATTTTTGGCAAAAAAAAACATGAAAATCTGGATCACCAAAAATCCATGGACTATAGCGCACGAAAATTGGGAAAATGGGGGTTTACTTGCTTTGGAGCTCGTTTGAACTTGAAAATGGGCCCGTTTCCCCATGGGACCAACTAGATCCATTGTTAAGGTCTTAATGAATGTCCATGAATAATTTAGGCAAAAAAAATCCGGAATTCCAGATCACCAAAAATCTATGGAATATAGCACACAAAAATCAGAAAAATAAAGGTTTACCTGGTTTGGGGCTCGTTTGAATTTGAAAATAGGTCAGTTTACCCTTCGGGATCAACTGGCTCCATTACTTAGATATTAACGGACGTCCATGAAAAATGTCAGAAAAAAAATATCTAGAATTCCGGATCACCGAAAATCCATGGACTATAGCACACAAAAATCAGCAAAATGGGGGTTTACCTTCTTTGGAGATCGTTTGTACTTGAAAATGGGCTCGTTTGCCTATCGGGACCAACTGGCTCCATTACTAAAGTCTTAACGAACATCTATGAAAAATTTCGGCAAAAAAATATGTGGAATTCTGGATCACCAAAAATCCATCAACTATAGCACACAAAAATTGGTAAAATGGGGGTTTACCTGCTTTGGGGTTCGTTTGAACTTTAAAATGGGCCTATTTTCCCGTCGGGACCAACTTGCTCTAATACTAAGGACTTAACAGACTTCCATGAAAAAATTTGGCAAAAGAAATCTAGAATTCCGGATCACAAAAATTCCATGGACTGTAGCACACAAAAATTGGCAAAAATGGGGGTTTACCTGCTTAGGGGATCGTTTGAACTTGAAAATGGGAATGTTTGTCCGTTGTGACCAACTGGCTACATTACTAAGGTCTTAACGGACGTCAATGAATATTTTTGGCAAAAGAAAATCTGAAATTGCGCATAACCAAAAATTCATGGACTATTGTACTCAAAAATCAGCAAAATGAGGGTTTACCTGCTTTGGGGATCGTTTGAACTTGAAAATGGACCCGTTTTCCCGTCAAGACCAACTGGCTCTATTACTAAGGTTTTAACTGACGTCCATGAATTATTTCATCAAAAAAATTCCAGAATTCTGGATCACCAAAAATCCATTGACTATAGCACATGAAAATCGGTAAAATGGGGGCTTACCTGCTTTGGGGCTTGTTTGAACTTGAAAATGGCCTCGTTTTCCCGTCGGAACCAACTGGCTCCACTACTTAGGTCTAAACGGACGTCCATGAAAAATTTTGATGAAAAAGTCCAGAATTTCGGATCACCAAAAATCAATGGACTATAGCGTCTGAAAATCGAAAAAATGGGGGTTTCCCTGCTTTCAGGCTTGTTTGAACTTGAAAATGAGCCCGTTTACCCGTCAGGACCAACTATCTTCATTACTAAGGTCTTAATGGAAATCAATGAAAAAATTTGGCAAAAAAAATCTGGAATTCCTAATCACCAAAAATACATGGTATAGCACACGAAAATAGGCAAAATGGAGGGTTTAACTGTTTTGGGCTCGTTTGAATTTCAAAAGGGGACCATTTTCCCGTCGGGACCAACTGGCTTCATTACTTAGGTCTTAACGCACATCCAAGAAAACTTTTGACAAAAATATTCGAAATTCCGGATCACCAAAAATCCATGGACTATAGCACACGAAAATCAGTAAAATGGGGGTTTACCTGCTTTTGGTGATCATTTGAACTTGAAAATGGAATCGTTTGCCCGTTGTGACCAACTGGCTCCATTACTAAAGTCTTAACGGATGTCCATGAAAAATTTCAGCAAAAACAATTCAGAATTACAGATCACCCAAAATTCATGGACTATAGCACACGAAAATCGGCAAAATGAGGGTTAACCTACTTTCGGGCTCGTTTGGATTTGAAAATGGGCCCGTTTGCTCGTGGGGACCAATTGGCTCCATTGCTAAGTTCTTAACACACTTCCATGAAATTTTTTGGAAAATAAAATCCTTAATTTCGGATCACTCAAAATATATGGTCTATAGCACACGAAAATTGGCAAAATGGGGGTTTACCTGCTTTGGGGCTCGTTTGAACTTGAAAATGGGCCCGTTTGCCCGTTGGGACCAACTGGTTCCCGATCTTTAGTTCAGCAGCATCAGTAGTGAGTCCTCATTCTTCGAGGACGAGTGACATGTTATCTTTCCATTGTCGGTCTTTTAGTTTCAGTTTAGCTAGAGTTAGTTGGGACATGTCTCAGCATCTTTAGTCAGTAGAGGCTTTTATTCATACATAGTTTAGATTCAGTTTTAGTTTGAGTTTGATCTTTCAGTTTTCATTAAACTTGTTTATATATATTCAAACTTAGAATAAGTATTCCCCATCATTTCATTTTATGATATTCTTCTAGCTACCTCAAAGTATGTCTATTATGTTGAAAATCTTTAAGTATGCTTATGATATGCTAACAGGGTTACCTTTGGGTCACTCATGATCCCAGGTCCCGTGTCCATGTCCTGGGGGTAGCCTCGGGGAGTGACAATACTAGAGCAGTGGTTAACTGAATTTTCAATTCCTGAAAGCTCATCTCGGGTCATATGTTGTACAGCTGGAAAGTTGTCTGCGTCAGAAAGTTGGTGAAGCCGCCAGTGTACTACACCAACCAGAAGCGACAAAGTTGTTTGTCCAAAGGGTATTAACTCTTGATGTTTGATATATTCAAGACCAAAAACAACAAACAACTCATTCATTCAAAGAGAGACATTCAAGCATCCAAACAGCAGGGACTTGATAGATTGCATTATTGCTTCCTGTACCAGCTGTTACTTTGATTGCTTGTAATCATGCTTATATTGTAGGAATCGTTTCGCTTGTGATAGAAATGTTTCAAACTTGTGTGAATCATTGTAAGAAATTAGTTGTGAGTAACTTAGTGTCTTATGTCAAAGTCTATATTAATCAGTCAAGATTAGTATATTGGGCAGTGTTGTATCTGCTTAGGCTCGGTTAAGTAATAGGTGATATTACTTAGTGTGGAGATTAGCAGGTTAATCTCAAGTTGTAAACTGTGTTTTACTTTTTCTTGTGAAGTTTAATAAAAGCAGTTTGAAAATCCATGTGAGACAAGTCGTGGTTTTACTCCCTCGAGCAAAGAGGTTTCCATGTAAAGTTGTGTGTACAATCTTTACTTTCAACATTTATTTACTTTAAGTATTTATCTGCTTTTTGTCATTGTAAATTGTGATGAGGACCTGGTCCTATCATAGCTAAGTGGATGTATACATTCCAACAAGTGGTATTAGAACTTGACTTTTCAATTTGGGTAACACCAAGAAAAGAAAAGATTCGAAGGAATAGCTGTTCCAGCTAATATGGAGGAAGGTCAGTCATCTACCAGACCACCCCGCTTTAATGGACAATACTATGGGTGGTGGAAGAATCTCATGCATGATTACATCAATTCTGAAGATACTGAGTTGTGGGACGTGATTCTTGATGGACCATACATTCCCACAAAGGAGGTGAATTATGGAGAGCTCACTACAACTGTTATCAAAACCAGAAAGGAGTACAATGAAATGGACAAGAAAAAGATAGAGAAAAATTATAAAGCAAAGAAGATTCTAGTGTGTGGAATCGAGTCAGATGAGTACAACTGAATCTCTGCCTGTGAGACAGCCAATGAGATATGGGACTGTCTCCAAACAACCCATGAGGGAATAACACAAGTGAAGGAGTCTAAGGACGATATGCTTACGACATGAGAACTTCCAAGGAAGGTGAAACTATCTTCGAGATGAACCCAAGATTCACCTCCATAATCAACGAACTGAGATACCTTGGTGAACCTATTCCCTTACGAGAACAGGTTCGGAAGATTCTCAAAGTGCTTCCCAAGTCATGGGAAAGCAAAGTGAATGCTATAACTGAAGAAAAGGATCTGAAGACGCTTTCCATGGATGAACTAATTGGAAATCTCCAAACTTATGAGCTGAACAAGCAACAGTGGACAAACATGAAGGAGGGAAAGAAGGAGAAATCAGTAGCTTTGAAAACATCTCAAAATGATGTGACTGGGGAGGAGGATGAAATGGCATATGTCACTAAAAGGTTTCAGAAGATTATTAAGAAGCATGGAGGCTTTCAAAAGAAAGCTTCGACCAGTAAAGCAGCAAATGCAAATGATCTTTGTCATAAATGTGGCAAACCTGGTCATTTTATGACGGACTGCCCCAGCCAGAAGCAGAAAACTCCGGACTTCAGACCTCGCAGAAGGGACCAGGTCCTAGACCATGCCAAGAGGAAATCGCATGCTGATCAATTGGTGAAGAAAGCTTTGGATGTATGGGGAAATGCATCTAGCGAGTCTGAGGAAGAGATAGACAGTCCAGAAGATGTCATGATGATGGTTGTGGAAGATGATGAAACTGTCTACAATTCCATTTTCTCACTAATGGAAAAATCTGACGATGAGGAGGATCTGAATGAGGTAACCCTTTTTTATCTCAAGGATGATCTAGATACTCTTTCCATTAAAAGATTGAGAAAACTTGTTGCTCTATTAATTGACTCAGTTGATAAACTAACTTCTGGAAATTATACGATGAGTGACATGTTGAAGTTGTGTGAGGACGAAAACTCAGCTCTCAACTCTCAAATATCTGAAATGAGCGTTAGAATAGGTATCCTTGAGACCGATAGTCTGGAACCCAAAGAGGAATCTGGTACCTCTGAGGGTGGGAAGCGAAAACTCAATAACTTTGAGGTTGAACTAGAAGAGAAACTTAAGACCTCTGAGTGTAAGTTAGTTGCCGCCCTAGAAAAGAACTCTCAACTAGTGAAGGATCTGTGTAAGATCAAAGAAGAGTTGAACCAATCCCTCAAATGGACTGACTCGTCTAAGATACTCTCTAACTTAGCAAATCAGAAGTTCAATAGCAGAAAGGGATTAGGTTGTAGACAGATAGAGCCTCCCTACAATCCTCATAGTAAGTATGTGTCTGTCTCTGACAATCTTCTGTGGACCCACTGTCTGGAAAAAAATGTGAGATTTTGAGATAAGTAAAAGAAAGATAGGAAAAGTTTCTTAAATCAAAAAGGTACCTGGTCCCGATTACCACTTTATCAAGAAAAATTTACCCCCATGGACAGGAAGGTTTCTTATTAAGCCTTTTGACAGGTTTTGGGAACTCCATTTAAAGTGGGTTTCTAAGTCTAATAAGTGATTCTTGTGCAGAAGAGAGGAAGCAGTCAGTGCTGGTACATGGATAGTGGATGGTCAAGGCACATGACTGGAGACACTCTAAACTTCCTCTCTTTGGAAGCACACCAAGGCGATGGTGTGTCATTTGGTGGTCGAAAAAAGGGTTCCATTCTTGGTATTGGCAAGATAGGGAGAACAGTTGATCATTCCATAGACAATGTACACTATGTGGATGGTCTGAAATACAATCTCTTGAGTGTATCTCAAATCTACGACAAGGGAAATGAAATCAAGTTCATGTCTGATAGGTGTCTGGTTACAAACTGTGCAACTAAAAGAGTTGATATGTCTTCCAAAAGAGTCAAAAATTTGTATGTTGCGGATTTTGACTCTATTGAAGGGGACAGTCTTTCATGCCTGAGTGCTCAAACTGATGATGCAAATCTATGGCATCGGCGATTGGATCATGTAAGTATTTCGTTATTAAACAAGCTTGTTGCAGGGACCTGGTCCATTGATTGCCAAAGCTGAAGTTCTCAAATGATAAAGTATGTGATGCCTGTGCAAAATGGAAAAAATAAGATCATCCTTCAAAGCCAAGAAAGGCATGAGCACAACCAGACCTCTGGAGCTTCTCCACATGGACCTATGTGGACTAGTCAGAATTCAAAGCAGAGGAGGTAATAAGCATATTCTTGTAGTTGTTGATGACTTTTCGAGGTTCACCTGGAACATGTTTCTGCGGACTAAGGATAAGATGGTCGGACTTCTAATCACATTTGACAAAGCTATTCAACTGAAGGTCAAATGCAAGATTGCTAGTATCAGATCTAACCATGGCACAAAGTTTGAGAACTCTAAAATTGAAGGCTTTTGTGCTAAAAATGAAATCAATCACAATTTCTCTGCACCAAGAACTCCTCAGCAAAACGGAGTTGTTGAAAGGAAAAAAAGAACATTGGTGGATAGTGCTAGAACTATGTTGATTGACTCAGGGCATGCAATGAATTTTTGGGCAGAAGCAGTCAACACAACATGCTATGTTACAAATAGGTGTGTTATCAGGTCTGTGATCAAGAAAACACCTTACAAATTGTTGAATGACAGAAAACCTTCAATTGCTCATCTTAAACCATTTGGGTGCAAATGCTTTGTACTGAATAATGGAAAGGATGACCTTGGAAAGTTTGATGCCAAGAGTGATGAAGGGGTGTTTGTCGGGTACTCTTCTACCAGCAAGGCTTACAGGGTTTTTAACAAAAGAACTATATGCGTTGAAGAGAGAATGCATGTGATATTTGATGAATTTGAGAAAAATGATGAGCACAAAGAAGACCATGAGTTGGAGGAGATGATCAAGAGAAAACAGGATAAGGCAATTCAAAATCCTGGAAACAAACAGGTTGCAAAAGAAAATGGTGCAGAACACATAAGAGAACCTAGTCCCTCTAGTTCAGCCCGGAAGGTATTATCTCAAAATCCAGAAGATGATGAAGGTGAATATGATGCTGATGTGGAAGAAGAGATTACCATTGAGTCCGGATGGAAACATCAATCCTCACATCCACTGGACAATCTCATCTCTCCACTTGACTTTGGAATACAAACTAGATCCAGAACAAGAAATCTAATTGCTTATTCAGCCTTCATATCATCCATTGAGCCTAAGAATATCAAAGAGGCTTTACAGGATTCAGATTGGGTAACATCAATGCAGGAAGAGCTTCATCAGTTAGAGAGAAGTAAGGTGTGGCACCTGGTCCCCAGACCACTCAACAGAACCATTATTGGGACATGATGGTCTTCAAAAAAAAATTGATGAGCATGGGATCATCACCAGAAACAAGTCAAGACTTGTGGTGCAGGGATAGAATCAAGAGAAGGGGATTGACTATGATGAGACATTTGCTCCTGTAGCCAGAATGGAAGCTATTAGAATCCTGATAGCCTTTGCCGCCCACATGGAGTTTAAACTGTTTCAAATGGATGTCAAGAGTGCCTTCTTGAATGGGAATTTGAAAGAGAAGGTGTATGTCAAGCAGCCTCCATGTTTTAAAGATGCAGACCTGCCAAATCATGTGCTGAAGTTGGATAAAGCTTTGTATGGTTTAAAGCAAGCTCCCAGAGCTTGGTATGAATGCTTGTCAAAATTCCTCCTTGCAAATGGGTTCTAAAAAGGTAAAATTGATAATACATTGTTCCTAAAATCCATAGTTAAGGAGTTTTTTATTGTGCAGGTATATGTAGATGATATCATCTTTGGAGCTACTTCAGATTCACTATGCAAGAAGTTTGCTGATGTAATGAGTAGTGAATTTGAAATGAGCATAATGGAGGAGCTTACTTTCTTTTTGGGACTTCAAATCAGACAGATTTCTCAGGGAAAATCCATCTGTCAGGAGAAGTATATAAAAGAACTGCTGAAAAAGTTCAATTTGCTTGAAGCAAAAGTCCTTGATACTTCTATGAGCACAAGTGTGAAACTTGACCTGGATGGAGATGGAATTGAAGTAAATCAGACCATGTACAGGGGAATTATTGGGTCACTTATGTATCTCATTGCTAGCAGACCTGACATAGTCTTCAGTGTAGGGATGTGTGCAAGGTTTCAAACAGCACCAAAGGAATCACACTTGAAGGCAGCCAAGCGAGTTCTGAGATATCTGAAGGGCACATAGGTATTGATCCTCTTCTATCCCAGTGGTGACTCATTTGATCTAATTGGTTATGCTGATGCTGATTATGCAGGTTTTCTTGTTGATCGAAAGAGCACATCAGGCATAGCACACTTTCTAGGATCATCACTAATTTCATGGGGGGACTAAGAAGAAAAACTCAGTGGCACTGTCTACAGCTGAAGCAGAATATGTGGCTGCTGCATCTTGTTGTGCACAGCTACTATGGATCAAGTAGCAGCTGGAAGACTTTGGAGTTCTCACAGACATTATCCCTCTAATTTGTGATAACACCAGTGCAATGAACATGTCCAAGAACCCTGTTCAGCATAAGAGGACAAAGTACATAGATGTGAGGCATCACTTTCTGAGAGATAATATTGAAAAGCAAAATGTGGTGATGAAGTTCTGTAAGATAGAAGATCAATTGGCTGATATCTTTACAAAACCCTTGAGTAAAAATTGTTTCATCAAAAATAGGTTAAGGCTAGGGATGCACAAAATCACTTGATTTCATGACAAGTCTACAAAAAATCTTCCATTTGATTACGTTAAGGAGGGAATGTATCTATACTTATTGTAATGTGTATCATTTGAGAATTCACTTCTGGTACCTTAATGCAGGTATACACTCATGGCATGTTAGCTGAAGGGAAGATCTAATCATACAGGCAAGGCTACATACTAAATGGGACCTGGTCCCCACGAGGTTAATATCACTTATGCTACACTGTATGTCTGTCGTCACTGCCACATGTCTCCTACCCATTCATCGCGTCAATTTCAGACATTTTTTCACTTTAGATCCAAGAATTACAACTTTTCAGGGACCCAATACCTCTTGGACTTAAATATAAACGTAACTTCTATTAATCCAAACATCTTAACCTCTTTCAAATCTCTTTTGTGATTTCTTACCTCGTTCTTAAATTGCCATTTCTTCTTCATCAAAATGACTAACTCCACTTTCTCTTCAAAGCTTCCCTTTTCTCAAGAGATTGAAAACCCTGGTTCCTTCAATTTCTTCACCCTCTCCCCAGAAGAATCTCCGTTGACACCATTCTGTGGTGTTGGTGAAATGGGCGAGTCCATCACACCTCATACTAAAGTGGTGGCTTCTCCTAATGTTCCATCTAGGGAGATCTTACCCTGCTCGCCGATGTTAGTTCTATCTGGTGAGAAATCTCCAAACTCAGAATCCCAATCAGTCATAAAACTAAGTGCTGACCCTCCTACTGAAGAACTTGAAGTATTGTCTAGGGGACTGTCTTCTACTATGTCTGAAAGATTATTTAATGGAGATCTGCCGCAGGGAAAGGGTCCTGAGTCGAATATTCTAACAGCAGGGGAAGAATTAGTAGATCTAAAAAGTTTGGCCTCTCTTAGAGGTGATGTTCAACCAACCTTGCTGGAACAAGAGTTGAGGTCTATGGAGCAGGTCCCTCACAGTGTTTTACCCGTGTTTAACCAAACACCTAGGTTGTTTGACGTTGAGAGTGATAAGGAAGAGGAAGAAGAAGTTCCTTTGAAATGGAGCAGAAAAGGGGTGCGAGGAGCCAACACTTTAATAGTTGGTGTCCCTGATTTGGAAACAGTTAAGAGTACTCCTGAGGTTGTTCTTACTGATGAGCCTGCTGAGTTTGCAAATGAGAGAAAAATAAAAGGGAAAGAAAAGTTGGTTGAGTCCAACTCAAAAAAGGACAAGAAGAGGTATGGAACTAAGAGTGAAATGCAGAAAGATATGGGGAGTGCCATTGCAGTGAATGTAATTCAAACTGAGAGGATTAGGAAAAGAAGATGGGAAGGTCACTTGCCTGAAGAACCCACATCAACTCCTTTGCTTGTTGGGACCAGTGATATCGAATCTGATGATATCACTGCATATGTGACAAAACGAAGAAAGGAAGTTGAGGCTGAGAGGGTTTAATCAAAGGGATGTCAGAAGCCTGTCAAGAAATCTCCTGTGAAGAAGGAGAGAGTGAAGAAAAAGGGTACTATTAAATGAAATCAGGACCAGGTCCTAGTGTTCCAAAACAAGTTGCAGACAAGGAAATGACCAGGGAAGAGCGCATAGCTGAAATGGAGAACTACAAAGTGTTGAACAACAAAGTTTTTTATCCTAATATTATAACCGAATTTGGTATGTCCAATCTCTTTTATGTTGTTTCTCTACAAAGTTGGGGCCATCTATTCGAACCCCTAGTACCTTATTTGCATGAACCTGAGGTGAGCGAATTTTACTACAAAATGGAGTTGATAAAGGTTGGAGGAATTAGTACTTCTGTCAAAGATATTAAGGTCATTTTAGATGAGGAAACTTTGGGGATCATTCTAGGTGTTCCTGCGAGAGGAATCCGATCAATTGAAGGTTGCAAGCCATCCAGTGTGTTCTCATAACATACCACAAAACGTTGGGACATCAAGCGTGCAGGAATGCCAAAGAAGTTTCTCAAATGAGAATATTAGCTACTCTTTGAGTTCATCAACAAGGTGATGGTACCAAGGACGGAGAAGAGAACTGTAGCATCTACTGCTGCTCTATTTCTCATGGAGAAGCTGGATGAACTTAAGGAAATAAATCTCCCTACTATAATGCTTGAACATATGCACAGGGTGATGACCTAGAAATAGGCAAAGCACGGCATCTCGTATTGCTACTTGTTGAATTATGTGTTCAAACATTTCGAAGTGCCTTTGGGACGAGGGGTACCTGGTACCACCAAGCAAATGTTCACTGCTGCTACCCTGCTAGAATGTGAGTATGTTGAAGAAAAGGCCAGGGGTAGGTCTCAGGGGGCAGATCTTCTAGAACAGCAAGCCTCTCTTGAATAAGAGTTGACTGATCTCACTGTGATC